ACATATGCACAGAAATTCAGCGTAGAAACGTTCGCCTCCGTCTCCGGAACAGAACAAAAACTTGGACCAACTGCACTTCCTTAAAATTAACTTCTTATCTTTCCTCCACAAAGTTATGGGACGCATACATTTCGTTACTCTTGTCGTGATTAACTTAACAAGATACGAGAGTGCTTTACGTGTGGTGGAGGTAAGTTATTTGCTATCTATTAGTTGGCTCTAAGTGCTGCTTAATACTACAGAAATTTATACAATATCTGTGAGCAAGAGCATAACATTTCTATGATAATTCAACTGAAAAGAATCACTGTCATCAATGACGGACGAGGAAACGAGTTATAGTAAGAACATTTGCAACAACCCAGAAGACAGAAATCTTCATACTCATCGCCCTGATGATGGAGGCAGTATGACCTCTGAAACGTTGGTTAATATCGACCAGACTACACAGTGCAACAACCCAGAAGACAGAAATCTTCATACTCATCGCCCTGATGACGAAGGCAGTATGACCTCTGAAACGTTGGTTAACATCGACCAGTCTACACGGCACAACAACCCAGAAGACAGAAATCTTCATATTCACCGCTGTGAAAACCTCAAATCTTACGAGTTATAGTAACATTACATACTGTTATCATCGATATCAGCACATGACTTTCAAATTTTAACGTTAATGTCGAATTTTAGCATATAATCATAAACAATGTTATAAATATATGAATTCAAACAAAAGAAAAGACCAGAAGGAAAACCTAGGCGTAGACGAGATGATAATATTATAAGTAAGCTTAAAACAAAACCTGAAGGTATGAATTTAATTAAAGTGTCTCTGAAGACTTCCGCTGTCGAGATCTTGTGAAAACGATAATGAACTTTGATTCAAATTTTATATAGAGAATTGCTGGCCAGCTGAATGATCATCAATATAAAATTATACAGTAGATTCCGGTTAACTTGGTCATCGGTTAATTGGGTCAGCCGTTTAATTGGGACAAATCTTAAAGAACAAAACTTTTTAACTCTTTACGTGGAACTTTGTATAATTGGGGCAGACGCTAAATTGGGCCAAAGTGTTATAGTCCCTATGTGCCCGAATTAACAGGAATCCGCTTTATATCCAACAACTATTAACACTGAAGGGTAGAATATTAATATGCCAAAAACGTTTCGACTCCAAGGGGTCATTTTCTGTGGCCAATCAATCAATGTTACATTTCAAGAATAATGCTTTTAAAATTACATAAAAATATAGAGGTAAAATACCAATTATAACTTGTGTACAGTTAGGAGCATTGACCACTTGTTATGAAACAATGTTGTTTTTATTGGATACAAAAATATTCTAAAAATTATTTAAATTAAATTAAACTTCGCACGGATTAAGTAAACAATACCAGCACTGACACCAGCTGCAGTGCTGGTATTTGCTAAATGAATACGAACGGATTTGACGGTGGGGAATCTAGATAATTGTGCATCGCTTTGTAACCACAGAAATACAAGCGGTACGTTTACTTAAATAAGGATAAAGCTCCAACAATTTGTTAAGTACCTCGTTTGAGGCAACACAGTTAATATGAAACGGTTCCCACATGGAATATACACATAACCAAGAGTTTCACTCCCAGAAATCGCAGGACCTGTAACCAACAGGTATTACAGCTTCACATTTTAGAACACACATTTCAACTAACTCTCTGATACCCACGATTTGCGCTCATTTAAATTTTAAGGTGGCAGTTCAATTTAATTACCTGAAAGACATTTTAAATTAATGTAAATCTTACTCATAATTTAATTACTTTATAAAAGAATAAAGGGGTGTTCAATTACGGATTTCTGGGACATAAATATTGTACAAATAACTTTTTAACTACTTAAGTGTTTAGATACACAGATCGTCTAGGTAATATCTAAATTAAACCAATTGTCATATCTGCTTGCTTTCATGTTACTGCTTAGCAGTCATATATAATATAATAAAAAATACAATGGGGTATCAACCAGCTTCTCTGCTCACACACACCACACACCTACCGCCAGATATGTTTATTTAAGGGCTCAGTTAGCCTACCACAAATATTCACCCTGAAGACAATTACTGTAAGGTTTATCGAAATGTTGCCACACCTTCACCAACTGACGAGGCTTATCCTCGAAAGCGAAAGTTGTATAGTTGCGATTAAAGTTTACAAATATATATAGTATGCTACACGTGTGCAGGCTTCATTACCAACTTTAGCAGCATCAAACATGTTTCCTTCCTTATCTGTTAAATTCGAAGCAACTAAACGGATCTGCTCATTGCACCAGATGTTACTGCAAAGTTGTGTGACATAAAGACCGCGCAACAATGGTCTTGGCACATGCTGGCCACGGTAGCATTGGTGGTCAGCTTCCTGACTTGTGGCAGTAGATCCCGTCTCGTTCTACCCCCACACGTCCGCCAACCGCATTTCAAGAATATCTGCCTCAGATACCGTTCTGGCTCCCATTTCCCGTCCAATTAATTATATAACTACACGGACAATGGAACAATTAAGTGGCAGAATTAGGGAAATATCACACAACGTGAGGGGATTTGGTCTCCCACTGTGAAACTTTTGTGGACATATTGTACCAAGGTTATTTTACGCTAACTGAGCGAAAGATGTTTGTGTTTCAGTGTGGGGGAAAACACCTACCTGGCACATGAACAGGGGGATATCTGGATGGAGGCGGAGGGAGGCTGTGCCCCTTCGAGACTTTTCATACAAATACATCAAGCAAAATTTGCATGAGGATGTTCTTATGTGTGTATACGAGTATATCTCCTGAAAGCGAAAACTTACTGAATTCAGTTACTGACGATATAACAATTTCACATGTTTTTCTCAACGTCTTTAATTGTTTTGATTTTTCTCAAAATCCTATGATCACAACAATAATGTAGATGAAATATTATCATCAGGCTGAATTATACAAAACATTGACTAATGGAAC